CAAATGTCCACCAATATTAGCCTCTTTAAGAAAAAGCTGTCCATTTCTCAACATTTCTATTAGCTTGCCTTTCTCTAAACTTTTCCACCATGGAGATGAATACAAACAAACCAGTGTAGAACAAATATCTGGCAATATAACTGTCAAAAAAAAAAAGACAATTGAAAGTTTCAGCATTCATAATTTTCATATGATCCAAGTGTTGGGAGTTTACCAAACTGTTAACAGTAACAGAAAATTCCAAGATCAAAACTTAAGTTTTACAAAATGAGGGAAGATCAGATGGAGAGTTAACCTCTGAATTCCATCTGGGGGTGTAGGGAGCCAGAGACAAGCTCTAAAATCATGTCGGAATGACAACGATTAGAACTAGAAAGGACTCCGTTAGTAGATGATAAGGCAAGAATGGTCTGAGGGGAGATTCTCAGGGACAAGGTTCAGCTGGAGGTTTTCAAAGGGACACAAATAGAGAGAGAAAGGCACTGCGGCTCACGTGCGTGGAGAAGGAAGCTAATCCGCAGCAAGTGCCCGCTAAGCTTTCATCAGTTCCTGGAAACGTGATGAATGTGCACAAAATCTGACTAGCGAACCTGAGAGAGGGTGGTCGGCTACAGTGGAAGCTGAGCATCAGGAAACACGGGAGGGCAGGGGCCGAGCTTGGAGCCACGGGCAAAACTCTTAGGCAATGAATTTCAAGCAAAAGGGAAAGAAAGTGAGTTTTGTAGCATCCACCAATCTCAATCACAAAAATTGTAAACATTGAGGCTGCTTCATACCATGGATAATACCAGTGCCTCCCAATGCCTCCAATCACTCTTAAAAACATGTTTTAAAATCCCCCTAACAAGAAAAAAGCCCTTTGACATGGGTCATGGCATGGCATTTATGAATATGACACCAAAGGTGCAAGCAAAAAAGCAAAAGCAAAAAAGTGGGGCTACATCAAAGCAAAAAGCTCTGCACAGCAGAAGAAACAGTCAACAAAATGAAAAAGCAACCTACAGGGTGGGAGAAAATATTTGTAAACCACGTATCTGATAAGGGCCAGTAGCTAATAATAAAATATAAGGAACTCTAACAACTTAATAATTTTGAAAAAAGCATCCAATTTAAAAAATGGGCAAAGGCCCTGAATAGTCATTTTTTCTAAAGAAGATATGCAAATGACCACCAAGTACAAGAAAAGGTGCTCAGTATCACTAATCGTCAGGGAAATGCAAATCAAAATCACAAGAAGAGATCACCTCACACCTGTCGGAATGGCTGTGATCCAAAAGACAAAAGAAAAGTGCTGGTGAGGAGGCAGAGGGAAGGGAACTCTGGTGCATTGCTGGTGGGAACGTAAACTAGTCCTATCCTGTATGTTCGTAACAGCATAGACAAAAGGCAAGACGTGGAAATAGCCCAAGTGATCTGTCATCACTGATGGATGACTCGGCAAAGAAAATGTGGTATTACTGAGACATAAAAAGAAGGAAATACTGCCATAAATGGACCTGTAATAATGGACCTGCAAAATGGACCTGCCATAAATGGGCATGATGCTCAGTCCAATAAGTGAGACAGAGAAAGGTAAATACAGAGAGCAGATTGGTGGTCACCAGGGGCAGGAGGTAGCGGGGCAGGGAATAGGCTGAAGGCCATCAAAGGGCACAAGCTTTTATTTTAGGATGAATAAGGTCTGGGGATGGACGGCTTGGTTCATGGTGACTGTTATTACCAATACTGTACTGTATATTTGAAAGCTGCTAAGATAATAGGTCTTAAGAGCGCTTACCACAGCAACAAAAAGGAACTATGTTAGATGTTGGGTGTGAACTCACCTTAGTGTGATAATCATTTAGCAACACATACAAGTGTCAAATCATGCCTTACGCCTTAAATGTGTGCCATGCTGTATGTCAGCTGTACCCCCTTAAAGTTGGGGGGTAATGAATTGCAGTAACAGGGACAAAAGAAATAAGATCCTCCAAGACTTCTGGTCAGATTTACTGAAAATACATGATATTTCGGCTATTTCTGTTTGAATAGTCTTGAAATTTGAGGCGCATTAAATAAACTCAGTTTATTCAATCTCTGAGTGAAAGTACTCAAACAGGAGTATAAAATTCTCAGGTCCCCAGACAGGGTTTTACACACTCAGCTGTCCAACTGTGATGCTAATTTAAAACCATTTTCTATATCTTTTCTTTTGTCCATGTTAAAAAGATATCAAGAATTTCATTTTTTGACTTAATTGTCACTGAGAAGTTAACTTATTTTTCCCCACCCATCTCAGAATCAAAGAAACTCTTAGTTTCAGCTCAAAGCTTATCTTGTCTGTTGTGTTTTGTTATTTAAAACAGCCCACCAAAGACAGCCCAGTATTTTATACCAGCGCCTTTAAAAATGCATGAGGATGTGCTTATACAGTATCATCACAAACTTTAAGGCATCATCCATCTCTAAGAACCATCCTCCTAAATCTGCACCAGTGCCCTCAGTCATTGTAAAGCACACATTTTCTGATTCACAGCATCTTAAAAGCTTCCAAGAGTTTAAGCTTTGAAAGCTTTCAAAATGGTTTATTGATCTAAAGCACCTGTTGGGAAAGTCTAATTTATGTCTCTCACTTAAGATTGCATTGTCTGTAGTCATCTATATTCCTCTGAAGTTTGACAGTTTTTTCCCACCATTCTTAGTATCTTCACTTGTTCCATCATATCTGACATAATCCATCAAAGCTAAAAACCAAATAAATAAATAAATAGAGGAAGAGAGACACACTGTATCAAAAATACAATTATTTTTTTTTGTTTTGGGGGGGAGGTAATTAGGTTTATTTATTTTTAGAAGAGGTTCTGGGGATTGAACCAAGGACCTCATGCGTGTTAAGCATGCGCTCTACCACTTGAACTATACCCTCCTCCCTTATAAGTATTTCTTTTATTCTTAATTTTAACTAAGTCACATAATGTAGATTCCATATTCAAACATGGAATCAGTAAGAATTTTCATTAACTGCAGCTAATCAAGTTTCTCTAAAGTCTCAAAATGTAATTGACGCTGAGTCTGGCTTCAGATAAAGAACTGAACTGAGTTTGAATAGGTTATTTTATTCCAAGAAAACCAACAAAGGAAAACTAATTGTACTCCATTACTGCTACGAAGTGAAGAACCGCCATCAGTGGGTTCCACCCCAAGAGTAATGTTAGCCTTTATGGTTTTATTTCTCAATGCTTCAGTTACTTTAGATGCATTATATCTGCATTTGAAGTTGCATATGCATTCTTATGTCACTGAAAGAAAACGTAACGTGACAACAGGCAAAACGTCTGGAGGTAACCGTCCCACCCACGTAAACTGGATGAGGACAGAAACCAGTGACAACATGGATCTTACAACACGTTACATTGACGACTTCGTTGTGCTTCTTCACCCAGACTGTGTGTGTCAGGGAGTCCCTGGAACACTGTTCTAGAATTTCTTCCTGGTGGTTCTACACATTGAACAGCAGCAAGAGCCTTAAGAGACGCCTGTCACCTGTGATGAAGCCCACCTGATAAACTCGTGGCGTGTCTGAAATTTAAAGCCAAGCAAGAGTCTTGAAGTGTGGGTCACAGACATGAAGTTTTGTGTCTTTCTCTGTGTCTTAGCTGTAACGTGTGTCACAATTTGCATTTATTTTGTTTCTGGTTTTGTCGCGGTGGTTCGTCCTTTCATTTGATCGTTAGCTCCGTGAGAGCATGTGGCTGTCACTCCCTGTCACGGCCCATGGTGTCACCTGGTAGCTGACGCAGACTGGGTTCCCATGAGTACCTTTTGAAAGAGTAGTAAAGAGGATCAGATGTTTGCCAGATGTGTTTCTCATGGGTCAGTTGTGAGGCCAGCCCAGGAGACTTTCAGCACCTCTGGTAGATACCAAGAAAGAGAAGGTATGGGACTACAAAGGAATGGAGTTTATTCTTCGGTGAGGCTGCACAGCCGTGTGGTCATTTCTCTGTGCTGTTCCCAGACTTCCTCCCGAGCCATGGTGACTGTCTCTACCATTGTTGTACGTGACCCAGACATACCTGGAGCCGTGGATGCTGCAGGAGTCGCTCCAGTGTGGAGACGAACAATAAAATGAGAAGTAATGACTAGATTACAACCAGACCACGGCCAAACGGTTTGTTTTATGAGCAAATTGCATCATTATGCTAAGAAAATGAATTGTTTATCATTCTAATCCCCTCCCTCGGAATTAGATTTTAACTGCTGTTGTTTAATAAAATACTAATTATTGACTGGTGGTTTCCAATTAAACTCCATGACATGACACCAGGCCTGCAGAGCGCCGTCCCACTAGCCCTGCGTGTGGCTTCCAAACTGTCTGCAGCGAAGAAATCCCAGTTGGCACTCTCTGATCAGAGTTCGCACTGGAGTTGAAATCTATTTTTCATCATGTCTTGGTCACTCTCCATCGTATCATATTAGTGTCAAAGTTGGGATGACATGTTCTTCCTACTACAGTAAAATAGCTGGAATGATGCACAGACCCAAAGCAACAGCAAACCAAGACGCATTCCCCGTACGCTTGGAAGGCATATAGAAAGCGTGTCAGGAGCTGGACAGACACGAATTCGAGAACATTTTTCATAAGGTGGAAATTGGATCAAAGTGTTAATGTTTGTGCTATTTCTAGGCTAATGTATTATGCACATTAATCTTGAAATACATTAAAAAATTCTTTTAGGGGGGAATTACGAAGAAAAGATGCACCAGAAAAAAAAATAAATCTGTGGTAATGACTCTTTAGTAAATTAACATTTTAGTGGGAAAAATGTCCATGTGATCACTAATACGTTGATGTCTTTACCTGGAATTTTAACAGGATTTCAGGGTAAGTGTACAGAAAAAGCACCACAGGTTAAATTCATTCATGGCCGATTCAGAAGGAAGCAGTCACAATCAACTATTTAAAACCTGGAATTTTCAGGATGTTATTCATGTTTTTATTTTTATTTTTTTCTAATTTATAGGTGAAACACAAAACTTTGTGATAATATGGAGACAAATCATGAAACTGTTTTGCATGACGGAGTCTCGACTGTTACCCCCATCACTCACCAGTTGAACCATTCATCCTTCAGGAATATATTGATTGAATTCATGACCTTCGAAGAGCTTAAAGTAAGTTGCATATTTTACATTTACAGAAAGGTAATGTCTCAGATCTGTAACAATTTTGGTAATAACAACTATCATACTAAGATACTAAGCAGAGCCTCTTGAAAAAATGAATTACATTTAACTAAAATTTTCCCGAAAAATGACATTTCACAATAAGTGAGAATGTAACTGATAATTTTTATCATAACATTTTATTTAGGGGAAAAAAAGCTTCCATCATTAAATATTCCTTTTTTGGCTGAAAATAATGTCACCACTTTTGTACCATGATTATGTAATTTGTAAGCATCAGGGGAAGGTGAGTGAGGGATACGTGAGAACTCTGCCCAATTTGCAGTTTCTCTGTAAGTTTAGATTTTTTCCAAATAAAGAGGTTTTTTTAAGGGTGCTCATCACTTGTTTAGCATTTAGAGCCAACCTATGTGAAGGAAATTCATCGTGATGAAAATCAGTTTTCTTAAGTACCGTAGAGAGAGTAGATAAATGGAGAGCATTTCAGAAAATGACTTAACAATGCACTGAATGGTGCAAATTGTGCGTGGACGTCGACAGCTGACGTGCTTCCAGAATGATCTCAACAGAAGAATAAATGTGGACCGTTTTATCGAAACAGTAGACACAAAACCAGCCATGTGTACACAAAAGTGAAATAACTAATAAAGATGGCTAATGCTTATGGACTCTTATTTGCAAGGCACATTAAATCTTCCAGAAAGGGCATGAGTTAAATATCAGATTTGACCTCTTCAGGCAGTCAGATCTCTTCCACAAAGTTACAGAGCTAACAAGAGGCTGAACTGTGATTTGTCTTATAGTCCTGAACTGTGATTTCAACACAGGCTGATGAGGCTCCAGGCCGGTGCACTTGACCACAGGGTTGTGTGGTGTACCTTCAATCTCTGAGTTTGACGTTTCCTCTGTAACAGAAATGCTGGGTTTGCATCTTGCCCCCTTCTCTGGCTAAGAATGAGGAGCAGCGGGCATCCCTGAGTGGAAAAGGCCTCCAGTTTATGGTTTCAGGGCAGTTTTTCTCTTTGACAATCAGGGAATGATCCCAACCTTGAGTTCACGGTCACCATACACCAACCCAGTCAGCTAAATTGGCCAGAGGACTGTGATGTCACAGGAGTGCTGTGACAGCAACTCAACCTGTCCGAGCCATGGGGTCCCCTCCAGAAGTCAGAGACTCCATCCCATATTGGAGGGTGCCAGGCTGAACCACATTCAGACAAGCACAGTCAGTCCCACACACTTTTAATAGCCATTCAGCAGACCATGTTTTGTGCTTCATAATTGCATTATTTGGAACTTTGTTCTATGTATTAAAAAAACCTCAATAGCCCTAATTTCCAGTCGGTGGAATTTCTAAAATAGCATGTGAAGATTTCTATAAATACAGCCTATAATTTCCATCTTAGTGTTGTGCTTCAATGCAATTCATTATTCATTAGTAAGGAATTTGAAAGAAATACCTGGTTCTCATCACTTACAGAAAACAACATATAAAAATAGAAGAAAAGAAGTGCAAAGTTTAATCTGAAGTAACTCTGTCTTGTTCTATTGCTGTTAACAACATTAGCTTTCTTCGAGGTAAACTTTCCTGAATATGCCATAACAGTGTTTAATAATAATATCTTTTTGAATCTAAAATTTTGACATTTGTTTCAAATTCATAAAATGAAAAGTAAGAGGGGCTTTCCAGTCCATAAAATGAGGGGGAAGGAAGACATTAACACGGGGACTCAGCCAAAAGGGATCTGAGCATTCCTAACCCACTGGACTAGAAAATCTTAAAAGAGCTCACTTCTGAGATAAGCAGTACCTAGTGGTGACGGGCAGCCTGGGGAAGTCATAAGAATACTAAGCCAAATGTTAATTCCCCAATATTCCCGCTATTTAAAGCTTTGATTGAAGGAGTGAAAGGGTCATTTCTGACCCTAAAGGGACTTTTTCCCTAGCAGTTTCTGCCAAAACTTGAAATAACAGTCACATGATTTCTGGTCAACATAATGAACTTGTGTGAACCTCAAAAAACGTTGCCAGTTTACTGTCTTTTGGTAATATTCCTGACAGTGATTTTTCAACAAGAAAACATTTGAAAGGCTATGGAAATACACTACACTCATCATTGTTTCATTGACTTTTATAAAAAGCAGGTTGTGTGAAGAACTGGGAGTCTGAGTTTCTTTGACTGTAGTGTATTTTCTTCAGTTTTTGTTGGATCATTTGTAAAGATCACCCCCCAGGCCCCACTCCCATCCCTCCCTTATCACCTCCCCAACCCCCATCAACCCCCCACCTCCAGAATCTCTGATTCAGTGCTAATTAGCTTGATGCCTGCGGGCAAGTCTCTTAACATCTTTGGCCTCTGGCTTGTTATCTGCAAAATGATAAGTTTGTGAGTAGATGAATTCTGATGCACAAATCAGTTTTGAAAAAAACGTGATTGTGAATTTAAATCTCCTATTTACAGAAAATAGTTATCGACATTTTAGGGTTTGTGGGAACGTAGTCCCTTACAATGTTTTGTATGTTTTGAACCTCAGCTTTATTTTTCTTTTATCTGAAATGGTTAGAAAAGAACTCTACAGATAACTTGAGAGTGGTATTAATCAGTTTACCCACATCAACAATTGCTGAAAGAAACATGAGTTTGGATATCAAGCTGAAAACTGGAAGTGCCAGGTGATACCCACCGCTTTATGTGTGTCAGCCTGCCCAGTTTTGTACCACTCGGTATGGATAAGAAGACCTTTCCTTAAAGCTCTTTATGCATGATTAGTGAAGCTTTGTCATAAGACAAGAAAAAAGAAATGGAGGAAGTACTTTATTTATAATTGAATCAAAAAAGGCTACTCATTAGCTATGCCTTCATAATATTTCATCAAACTAATCCACATACAAACCTCTTTGTCCTTTCTCCCTGTCCTGCTCCATTTTTCTAGACTCCCTTATCCTAACTGGCTGCAGAAACACAATCATGTGACTGGACATAAATTTCAAAATAAAAACCAAAGGCATTAAGAGGAGGATGGAGGTTGATGGAGAGTGTGTTGTGCTCCTTTTTATAACAGGTTCTCCTTTTCCTCCTTTACTTTTTTTTGGGGGGAGGATAATTAGGTTTATTTATTTGCTTGTTTCTTGATGGAGGTACTTGGGACTGAACCCAAGACCTTGTGCATGCTAAGCAGGCACTCTACCACTGAGCCAGAGCCTCCCCTAGTCCTTTCTTTAGGGTTAGGGCTTGGACCAGGGTTATTAAGTCATCTGATAAATGTTCCCAGGACGTTTTAGAACAGGTTTAGGTTTTCAAATTTGAAGAGTTGTGTCCAAGTCCTGATTTACATGTCCGAGGTTTCCCTGGCCCCAAACAGTTTTCACAGTCAGAGTCTTCTGAACCCGAGAATCACAGGAGACCACTAAGGCTCAGGAAGCATGCTCCGTGTTTCTTCATGTAAAATATGCTAGAAAGTTCTTGATACCCTTCAGCAGTCATGTATTTTGAGAGAGAGCAAAACCGCACTTTTAACGATGGTGATTCTTTTGGTTTTAAGTGAGAATGGAGGGCAGACTTTACCATCTATGACCAGGGACGTGGATGCTGCCAGCCTGGCAGCCTTATCTCGGTCCACTATGGTCAACTTTGGTTCTGGAAATTCTATCAGGGTGATGGCCTTCCCACTTAGAAATCTACATGCACTCTCACATTAAATCTGTGCTTTCCCTACAGAATCACTCCTGTCTTTTAAGTCTCTTGGTGGCATTGATTCTGCTGGCACTCTTTAAGTCAGTCAGGTGGATGTGCGTGGAATCATCTGGAGGGTCTGCCTTCCCTCCGCAGTTCATAGCACTGCTCATCAAGGCCTGACACCTGTCCTCAGGATGCTGTCATTTCATCTCCAGATTTCTTTTCCAGCCCACCATGTGAATCCCCAGTCGGATCAACCCCGAGATCCTGGCACATCCATTATTCATCTATGGATGAGGTATTGCTAGCAAAATTTAACATAGCAAAGCAGAGGAAAGGGTAAGGAACATGCTAGTTGGAGAGATACAGAGGAAGAGAGAAAAGATGGAGAGAGAGAGAAAAACAGAGCGATCGATCAAGAACACAGGTGAGGTGCAGATGCAGACCAGGTAGAGTCAACAGCTTGGTACGTGCAAAGCTGTAGCACTAAAGCTAATAAGATCTTTATTCTTTCAAAGAAAGCATTATTAATTAAACCTTGAAGGTGACTGAGGAAGGAAGAGATTTGAGAAGGACCCCAATGCCTTCTGGAAGAGATCGAAACTCTCTTCTCAAAGAGAGTTTTCATCTAAGAGGTCCTAGGTCCTCTCCAAGACCTAGAAGTAGAAGCAAGAAGGATAGTGAAGGACAACAGATTCCTAGGATAAAGTCCCTGTGAAAATCAGATGTTCGGGGCAAGAATGGGGTGGTGACAGAGGCCATGTTTCTGGGTTGGTGGCCCAGTTGACTCTGGCCTGGACTCTGACCCCTGAACTACAGATTGTAAACCACAGGAAGTAGGTGTGCTCGTGAGCCACTCAAACCACAGTGTCATAAAGAGGGAACAGTGGGAACCCCAGTCCGTTGGGCACAGAGGGACAGTACAGGCAGATGAACACCGGGGAAGGGCCATCCTTCCTCCTCTCCTGAGGACGTGCAGCCAGGCCTTCAGCAGGAGGAAATCCCGCCCGTCTGCCTCACAGCCACTCCAGGGGCTTCGCAGCCGCGCTTGGCACAGGGTCACATCAGACCTGCGAGTCCAGGCAGCTGGGACAGGAGTGGCCTCAGAGAGAGTTAGCCCACGCGGTGAAGAGAGGTTTCTTTCCGCCTTTGCGGGTTGATTGATCTTTGTAATCGTGTGAGACACAGGAGGCAGAGCCGACAGCTGAGGACAGAGGGTGTTTGAGGTTAGGAAGTTTTTGGATTGTCTGTCCATCAAGAGTAGGAGGCCATAGAAAACTCCAACTGTATATTTTAGGACCTGCGTGAGCCA